GTGTTGCCTGCTGGTCTTGGGACTGTGCCATTTTACCCTCTGATCCTGGCTTCGGCAGCCTTGGCAGCCTCGGCAGCCAGCGGCTGCTTGAGTCAGAAGATGCCTCCAGCTCCAGTGGGCTGGAACAGGAGGCAGAGCTGAAGCCCAAGGCTCAGGGGCCTTCACCCAGCCCTAGAGCCGGCACTTTGAACTCGGACGTCTGGCCTCCTGAACTGTAAGAGAACACACCGCTGTCTGCGGCACATCTATTGTAGCAGCACCAGAGACCCAGGGCAGTATGGGAATGCAAAAGACCCACAAGAGCCCAAGTGGTTTTGAACCATAAAGCCTCTGCATAATGAGACTCGGTAAGGGGGACTCAGATCAACTCCATCTGGGCTCCGATAATCCGGCATCTGTCTCACCTACCTGATGCCAGTGAGCCCTGGATAGCCATGTGGGCCAGCTGTGGCGTGTGGCGTGGTCTTGTGGGTTCCAGGGTAGCTGCTATAACTGGGTGCTGACCCGGGTACCACCTGCTTCTCCCAATCTTTGTCCTGACCTGAGGTACCCATGTGTTCTGGAGTACCTCTGGGCTGTCCACAGGCACTTCCCCTGAGAACTTCTTCCCTGAACGGTGTCCAGGCCTCTAGTCTGTCTGCTAGTTTCACCCACTAGCAAAGCGGTGGGTCTCCAGCATGACTTTGCTGATGTCTTTCTTGGGCTGGAAGCTTTTAGGATTGACAACTGCTTACAGAACAGAGTCGTCACTCTCGGGTGGCTTCCAGGTCCTTCCTAGGCTGTCTCAGCGCCATGTCACCCCCCCTTCCTTAGCCCGTGCCGTGCCCCAGGGTCTGCCTGCCTTGTGCTTATTGAAAGCTCACTCATCTTTCCATCCCCAGGTCAAAGGCCAGCTCCTGCTGCCACTGCAGTAGCCTCCACTCTCCGCAGTTCCCCGCCCCATAGTGCTGTGTCAGGACCTCCTGCGTGGTCTGCTATGTTCCACTTTGAATTGGCTCCTCCGTGTCTTCCTTACGTCCTTTATCAAACCATCACCAAGGTCCTGGGTAATTTTTATAGTTGTGTCACGTCTGTGCACTCACAGCACTTGGTGAGAGTGTACAGATCGTGTGTGCAGATGGTGTGCTTGTCAGACTTGATGGTCTTGCACACACAGCACTCGGTGAGAGCATAGGGGTTGTATGTAAAGGTCGTGTGTTTATCTGACTTGATGGTCTTGCATGCCCAGTGCTTGGTGAGTGTGTATGGATTGTGCTTGTCAGATGTGGCTGTCTTCTGGAGAAGACTGGCGCCTGACCACGGTGAGGTGGTGCTCCTGACCCCAAGAGAGACTACCTCTGTCTCTGAGGGTGTGGCTGAGCATCGGAAAGCCACTCCAGCATGGAGGAGCCTGAGCTTGTTTGAAGTAGGGGCCCATGAGCATTTGTGGAATCTTGGAAGAGTATGGTAGATGGGAAAGGTGCCCTGCCTCCATGCCCTGATCTCTTAGCCTTTGGAGAACTGAGAAGTCACAGGTGCCTGAAGGGGGAGCCATCCTGCAGATGCAGAGTGGCTGCTGGAAAATGGGGCTCCCCAGCCTTAGGCGAGGCTGGGCTGCTCAGACAGAGGGGCTCCCCATGAGATGTTCAGGTGAGGCTGGGCTGCTTGGAGAGTATGTCTTTGCCTGGGCCAGGCGGTTCGTGCTGGGAACATATATATACCTCCTCCCTGGCTGACGCTGTAAAGTCCAATGAGAGGGTAAGTTCAAATGAAACCAAACTCACTGCCATCAATTTGATTCTGACTCATAGTGACCCCCTTTGGGTTTCCAAGGCAGTAAATCTTTACAGAAGTAGATTGCCCAGTCTTCCTTCTGCAGAGTGGCTGGTGGGTTTGCACCGCGAGCCTTCTGGTTAGCAGTCAAATGCCATGGGCACTATGCCACCAGAGCTCCTGGGGTAAGTTCAGGTTCTCACAAATGGCTGCAGGGACCCTAGGTGGGTGGAGAGGTCTACTGCCTTCCCCACAACAGTGTGGCCAAAGGAAGGAGGCTTCTTTCACGAGATCACATTAAGGACAGAACTAGTGCTGTCAGCCGGGCACCAGGGTGATACTGCTCAACTGCTGGCCAGCCTGTACCCCACAAAGGATCACCCCTTGGCTTCTCACTGGTTGCCTTTATACCAGTGAGTCAGGTCTCCAGGGTCTGTTCTCCAGGCTGACTGTGCCCATCTGCCGCAGACTGGCTCCAGGGAGGTTAGTGAGTCAGACTGTGTGGGGCTGTCCCCTTGGGCTGACAGTGTCTGTCTCCCATGTACTAGGTCCAGGGAGGTTAGTGAGCCCCCCAGCCAGTTGCTTGTCCCCCTGGGCTGACCCCATCTGTGTACCATGCGGTGGGTCCAGCGCGAGGTTAGTGAGTCACCGTGGGGGGCTGTGCCCCTGGGCCGTGATGCCATCGACTCGTTGCCTGTCCTTCCTTGGGAGGAGCCAGGCTTGGGCTGGTTAGACTGCATGCCCAGTGGTGTGCGCCTTTGTGCATGTTCTCACATGGTGTCAGCGGGCCTTGATTGGATAGTTGACGGGGAAAGGGAAACATGGCACCATTTTTCAGAACGGGATTGAGTCTGTTTCCCTCTTTCAGGGCCTGGTGGGGCAGTGGGCTCTGTCAGCTGTGTCGTCAGTAAGTTAGTGTGAACCACTGGAGCCTGACAAGGCTGAGGGCAGGCCCTCCAGCCAGCTGCTCATGGAGCAGAGTGGGACAGGGCACCTGTAGGTCTCCTGGTCCCTCAGGGTTGGTGACATGAAGCTGCCAGCCACGGCCTCCCTGTGACAACCACTGGTCACACAGTAGTTTACCTGAGAGAAAAAGCAAACAACATGAACGTTCCCGAGCATCACTGTCATCTGTTAAGTTGATGGATTTTGTGTGTGTTGGACACCATAACTCAGGGGCCTTTTTCTTTCCCCAAAGAAATAAAAGAAGAGCTTGAAGACGTAAACAAGGAAGTCAAGAGAACGGCTCATAAGGTCCGAGTCAAGTTAAAGGGTGAGCGTGGGGTCGGGGCCCCGTGTCATTGTGGAGGTGGGGACACGGGGCGTGGGGTTGGGACCCCGTGTCATTGTGGAGGTAGGGACACGGGGCATGGGGTTGGGGCCCCGTGTCATTGTGGTGGTGGGGACACGGGACCATGCTGTTTCCTTATCACTCTTCCTTCCTTCCTGGTTTCCAAGATCAGGACTGCGGCCGGTTAAGGGCAATGATTTGTGCGCTTAGAACAGTCAGCCTTTAAGTCGTTCAGCATTCCCATTGGAGGCTAATCCTTCAGTTCAGGACAGAAACACTAATTCACCTTCAAGAGCATCAAGCACATGCTGATCAGTTGCTGGTCTCCTTATATTGTGATGTTTCTAAGACATTTCTGGCCCCAGTGCTGAGAGCTGGGCCTTACGTAACTTCTAAAGGCAATTATGACTCTTGTCTCAGGGGCTTTTGAGTTGGTGGGTTCCTCGAAACTCCCGTGAAACCCCACTCTGTTTCCCTGTGTGTGTTCACCTCAGGCAGCCGTGCTGCCCGGGTGTCTAGCTTGTGTGTGGGACTTAAGCAGATGGGGCTTTTCTTTTTTTTTTTTTAATTGTGATTCGGGTGAAAGTTGACAGAGCAAATTCGTTTCCGTTCAACGGTTCACACACAGTCTGTTTCCTGACGCTGATTGGAGTCCTCACAAGTAACAGCTCTCTCCCCACTTCCTCCTGTTCCCCGTTTCCCTTCCTCCTCCTCTCCCATTCATTTCTACCTTCTGAGCTTTATCCCTGGGCCAGTGCTGTCTCTCGATCTCGGGTGGTTCATGGTCCTAAGGGGTGCGTGCCTCGCTGGTGTTACTGTTCACTTTTTTGCCTGAAAGTTGAGCCATGGGGGTTAGTTTAGTGTCCAGCCTAAAGGACATCTAAGGGCCACAGTCCTGGGGGCCGACGTTGTTTCTTCTTGATGTAGAAAGAGGCACACTGTAGTTTGTGTTTACCACAGAGCAGGAAATCAACCACGATCTCTTTGCTAATTAAAAAAACAAACAACTCTTATTACGGAAAAGGTCAAAAGTGTCGAGGCAGAGACACTGGCCGGCCCCCACCCCTTCTGCCCCTGTGGGTTCCTGTGCGGTCTGCTTACCTCACACCGCCTGATGTCGTGGTGTCTTACCATCATACATCTGCATGTGTTGTTCAAACACAGGGACTGTATTTCCAAAAACGGACTCACCATGCTATTACTGGATCTAAATAACATTAATGACAATTATTTAATATCGCTACATGATCAAGAAACACACTTAACGTACGTTGTACCACTTTTGCCGTCGAGTCCATCCCAACTCAGAGTGACCCTGTTGGACAGAGTAGACTGCCCCGAGGGTCTCCCAGGCTGTCATCTTCATGGAAGCTGACTGTCCATCTTCTTCCCACAGAGCAGCTGGTGGGTTTGAACCACTGACTTTCTGTTGCAGCTGAGCACCACTGCACCACCAGGGCCCCTGTAATGTATACTATCTAACTGTATATAACGTTTTTTTAATAACCAGTCAGGGTTTACATTTCCCAGTCTCATGATTTGCTTTTTTTGTCCCATTGGTTTGGGTGGGTATCCTTATAAGGGCCATACACTGTGATCGGTCAATATGCCTTTTCAGATTTTTAAAATCACGTTCTCCCTCTATGTTTTCTCCCAGCACTTTGTTTTGTTGGTGAGGAAATGGCTCATTTGCCCCACAGAGCATTCGCCATGTGCTGGATTTTGCTGAGTTCGCCCCTGTGTGTCGTGAGAGGACCTGCTGCCCTCTGTGTACATGGTGGTAGCTAACTGGTGGCTCTTCCATCCCAAGGTGCATAAGCCCACGAGGTGTTGGAGAGTGGGAGACCCTAATTTTGTTACTCCTTCTTTAATTACATGCTGCAGTGGCTCCTCTTTCTTGTGGGTATCCTCAGGCACAGACTGTGTGAAAGATTCTTCCTCTTTGGAGCCGTCCCCGTGGCGGCTCCCCAGGACCCTCCAAAGACGACCAGCGAGAAGCTTGTTTCTCATTTATTGTGTGAACACGTGGGTCTGGCCGAGTCTTCCATGTTTCCATTTGCTGCTGTTACTCTTCTTGTCCCGTTGGGGCCTGTAGCAGCCTGTGTGGGTGGACACCTGAGTCCTTTGACATGGTCCTCGTGTTGTAGCCTTTGAGGGTTTTCCCGCCCTCTGGCAAGGCAAGCTGGTCCCAGCTCCCATCATGCATTTCCTGCCTGAGACCTGGAGTTGGTCATTTCTCCCAGGAGCCCCATTCCTATTAATAGAGATTGGTGTTTCGAGCCCGAGATTCGGGTGCTCGGGGGACGTCCTACCGTGCACTGAATGGTCTGGCTGTTGCTTCTAGGCCCTTTCACTGGACAGACTTAAGACTTTTTTTATGTTTTCTTTTTAAAGACAAGATGAATCATGAATTCCTTCTGGTACTTCAAGTCATATTAAGAACTAAGGATTTTTCCTTAATCTGAAAGGTACTACATCTCTGTCTCCTTTCAGTTTTGCCCAAATCCTGGTTCTCAGTGACACCTGCGTGACTGCTTGGCTGCTTTTTCCCATCGTACACACCCAGCAGATTCAGAGTAATGATGCAGCACCTGCCATAAGAATCAAAACCCACAGACCCACTGCTGTGTTGAGTCAAGTTCTGACTCATGGTGACCCTACTGGACAGAGCAGCAGTGCACAATCATGTTTCCAAAGCTGTAATCTTTACAGAGGCAGACTGCCATACCTTTCTTCCATGGAATGGCTGATGGATTTGAACCACTAACCCTTCAATTAGCAATTGAGTGCTTTAAGCACTGTGCCGCCAGCACTCGTTCACCAACAAGAATAGAATTAAAAACAGTATATGGTTTGTTGACAGGATACCCATTGAGATGTTTTGCTTTTTTTTGTCTTTAGGTAAATCCCACTTGGGATTTAAAAAAAACCAAGCGTTACCATCGAGTTGATTCCTACTCATAGTGACCTAGAGGACAGAGCAGAACTGCCCCATAGGGTCCCCAAGGCTGTCAGGCTTTACGGGAGTAGACCCCTCCACTTTCTCCCAGGGAGCAGCTCGTGGGTTCCAACTGCTGGTCTTTTGGTTACGATCTGAATGTTTTAATCACTGTTCCACCAGAGCAAACCCCTCACCCCATACCTTGGGATAGACAATCAAAATTACTGGGTATTTTCTCTCTCTGTTTTAAAATTGCGATTTGGATGAAAGTTTACAGAGCAAACTGATTTTCCATACAACATTTCTCACACGTCTTCTTTCATGACATCAGTTGCAATCCCCATAACGTAATAGTTTTCTTCCCACTTCCTCCCTGTGGTTTCCTTTTTCCTGTGTCCTTTCCTTGCGTTCCTGTCCTCTGAGTTATCACCCTGTGCACATACAGCCCATCTGGTCTTCCATGGTTGATTGTTCTGAGGAGTGTACCTACGTGGTGTAAGAGTTCACCTCATATGCCTTTCTGTTGTTTGGCTGGAAGCCACAGGATGAATTCAGTTTCAGGTCTGAAGGTCACTAGGGGCTATAGTCTCGGGGATTTCAGCCGTCTCTATCAGACCGGTAAGCTTGTTCTTTTTTTTATAATTTTGAGTTTTGTTCCACATTTTTCTCCCACTCGATCCAGGATCTCCTATTTTGACCCCTTTCCTCGTGGTGGACAGTGGTAGCCGGGTACCATCTGGTTCTGGTCTCCGGGTCAGGTAGGCCGAGGTTCACATGGACTTGCACTGATTGTTTCCATGTGTCTTTGGTTTCCTTTCTTCTTCTTTGCTCCAGACATGGAGAGACCGGTTGTTGCATCTTAGATGGCTGCCTGCAAGCTTTTGAGACCCCAGTTGCTACTCACCAGAGTAGGATATAGAACAGTGTTCTTGTGTCGTGTGTTATTCCATTTGTGCTTGATATCCCCTGTGACCATGGTCCCGAGCCCATGGGCCTAGAACTCACTCCCTCAGGGTGTTTGGCTATGGCTAAGAAGTTACCACTTTGTCTTGTTAGCTCTTACATATGTGGATGTTCTTATGGCACATACACATATGTATGTACAAGTATCGTCTGTTAACCTTATGGGTGGTTGTGGGTATATTCCCTTTTGTCTGGACAAATCTGATCACTGTACCCATCTCCCCATCTATCAGCCTGTAGATTAGTGTCTGTTGTCGCCGATAACGCAGGGCCGTGTGTGT